TTGAATACGCTCAGGGGAAGATACTCTCTTTACCTGTAGGCCTCTGCATTCTGCACTAGCACGAGATACCAGATGATTTTATGTTTGTGATGTGAGTATTATTTGTACCAGATACTAAAGGCATTTCACCGCCTCGTCTTTTGTATCAGACCCAGTGTGAGTTGACAGTTGGGTTCTCAAAGTTTCTGTCGAAGGATGAGGTGTCAAAGACGTTGGCATCCGCTGTGGTTTACAAAAAAATCGAAGTTCAATCCTCCTCGTTTCAGCCACATCCAGCCTCTCTGAGGCTTAAGGCATCTAGTTTCTGAGTTCAAGTCCCGTTTTGGGAATCATTCGCAATCTGTGACTCTGGGCAGCTCTACATTCAGCAGCGAATCAAGTTACAACCTTTATGTTGGATGGACGCCCATTCTCTCCCCCCACCCCTCCATGCTAAAGGAGATTTGGGGTCCTAATTTTTAAACGAGTCTCTCCCTCCAGTCTCCAATTCCATGGATGCAATTTTTGCCCTCACACCCCAGCCAGATGCCCAAGAGCTGAGCTCTGCAGCTGTAATTAGTTGTAGAATTCTAGGTACCGATTTTTGTTAGCACAAATTAGCATCTGCACAGAGGCCCTTTGTGTGTATTTTGGAGGCTCAACATGGAAAAGGGTTCGAATTTAACCAGCTATTGCCATGGCCCCCATGCCCCTTGCTGGTCTCACAGGGTCTGCCACTTCCCAAGGGGAAAAAGTAGGGAGGGAAATCTCTTGAGGTTTAACCCCTTGTGGCCCACAGCTGCTGCCACTGCCTCTTAAAAGTCCCATCTGTCATTACAGAAACTGCTCAGGTGCCACTAATTGCTAAAGAAAAGACGCAAAGTCAACAAGGCTCAGAGGAAATTGGAGATGCCTGGGATTAGATAACACTCACTTTGTTGTGAAGAACCAGGGGATGAATGGGGATCACACCTTGTTGCAAAGAAGGTGGGCGGAATTAGCTTAGCTATTCTCTGCCATTCAACCCCTTATTGTCTTTCCCAAGCAGCGTGAAAAATCTAAAAAAAAATGTACAGCAAAGCAGGAGGCGGGGCTCTGTAATTAGAGATTTAATCCCTTTATGACTCAGACTTGCTTTTCCAGTACAGCTGGATCTCTGGGGGGGGGGGGGGGGG